AAAAGAAATACCACATGTTCTCACTTATTGGTGGGAGCTAAAAATAAATAAATAAATTCACTCACACACACACAAAGAAAACCGGGGTGGGGGGGGGGAGGAGAAGATATAACAACTACAATTTTTTGAAGTTGTTACGACAAGCAAACGGAAAGGACATTGTTGGGTGGGACGGAGGAGATGGTGGAGGGAGGGAGGTTTTGGTAATGGGCCATAATAACCAACCACATTGTATATCTACAAAATAAAAATTTAAAGGAAAAAAAAAAAAGGTTGGAAAAAAATTATGTTTGCTAATCCAAAGTCAATTAGATGATGCCTATGTCCAATTAAGGTCATTGAAAAGAGTGCAAGGGGCTGGCTGGTTAGCTCAGTTGGTTAGAGCACAGCATTATAACATAAAAGTCATGGGTTTGGATCCCTGGCCATCAAAAAAAAAGTGCAAGATACTTGCTGTGTGATGATGGAGAATCAGTCCTCTTCCTCAAATTCTTTCACGGAGATGTTTATGTAACATCCTTAAAGAGTGATTTCTGGAGAAGACTTTTAGAATATAGGAGATAAATAATGTAAGTGGCAGTGAAATGTGATTTCAAGCTCTACTAAAGCACCATCCAGGTGGTGGACACCAAGATTGAATGGCATTGATTTTTAAGAGTTAAGTATGGGGCCGGCCCGGTGGCGCACTGTTACAGTGCGCCGCTTGGGAGTGTGGCGGCGCTCCTGCCGAGGGTTCGGATCCCACATGCAGACTGGTTCCCGCTCACTGGCTGAGCGAGGTGTGGGAGCAACACCGAGGGTTGCGATCCCGTTGCCGGTCCCGGTCTGGTGCGGGCGTGACACTGAGGGTTGCGATCCATTGCCGAACACGAAAAAAGACAAAAAAAAAAAAAAAAAGTTAAGTATGAGTTAAGCATAGCAAATACCAATAAAATGTCCTGCTTTGAGCATGATTTTCAGAGCTGGGACTACGTAAAGAAGATAGGCAAGATCTTTGCCCTCAGAGTTACACTCCAGTGGAGGAGGAGAACAGCAAACATGTAAACAAATTTTATGTCAGGCACTGGGCAGGGCACCAGAAATATAGAAATTGAAAGCTCTGGACCCTGGCTTAGACACTCACAGTGCAGGGTCTGAGCTTATGGCTCCCTGGACAAAAGGCAGAGGGGGTGTTAATGAAGGATTTCTAAGAAAGCAGATGCCCGAGCTGAATTCTGAAGGAGGAATTACATTGCCAGACAAAGGAACGGCCTACAGGAAAGCACTGAGAGGTGAAAAGAGAATGGTGTGCTAAGAAACTAGAAGTTTGACAATACCTGAGACAGAATTTGATAAAAGACACATTCCAGGGGGAGGAGGAGGAATACTTTTATTCATGCTCTTGAGCTATGTGCCACCTCATCCCTAAGGCAGTGAGGAGCCTGGAGTGTTTCCCCATAGCAAAGCTTGATTTGCAAGTTAACAAGTTGTAATAACCTTGTGTGGAAGCCTTACCAGAAGAGATATCGGACACGATGAAGCCTGAAGTAAAAGGAGACAATGGAAGCAGAAAGAAGGAAGACAGAGATTGAATCCCACAGGGTCAGAGGTACATAGGTGTCTTCTTGGATTTGGGGAAGAGCAGCAGATGTTCATTGGACAGAAGCGCTAGAACATGACGATGGAGAGGTAGTGTGCATTGGGTGGAAAATACTCCTCACTTCTTAGCTTTTGATACCTATATATGTATTAAAAGAGGAAATTCAAAGTAATATTAGACCTGCAGATTCTGGGGGGGTAAAAAGTGTTAATCCAGATTAATGTATTTTAATGAACATACTCTTAGAGTCCAAAGATTGCTCCGTGGATGTATTTTACCTCAGTGGCATGAAGACGAACATTAAAGGAGGAGTCTGATGCAGTATGTTTTGTTCACAGAGGGCTAGGAAGGAATACTGGGAGAATCTTTGGATAGCCTCAAGCAGGGCATACAACCCTTCGATGTCAAAATCAGATGCCTGGGGAGTGACCACAGGAACAGCCAAGCTGATGCAGGAGAAAGAAGCTACAACTGAGCAGCAGCTGAAAGAACACTTTGAAAGACAGAAATTCATATCTACACAGTAGCCTCAATGGAACCAGTTTTTGTTGAATTTCTGTATGTTTGGGCCACAGTTCCTACAAATAAGGAAAAGATGGTTAAAAAATGCAAACCTGGACTTATAAGTGGTATTAGTGGATTGAAACAAAATTGCAAATAGCACTTGACAATTTTTAAAGTATGTTTTAGAAGTTTATTTAGAAGTAAAATAAATAGGAAGAAAACTTTAAGCAGGTTTACTAAGCACCCACCAAGAATAAGGTATTATGGAAATTACTGTGGCAAAGACAGAGTAATTCAGATGCTAATCCCACTTCAAGAAGTTGGTAGACTAGCAGGGAGGATAAGATGTGAACTGTCACATAAATGACTCAGCAACCAGCCAGGGACAAATAAAGTGCTATGGAAAGTGGCTTCAAACCTCCTTTGAACATGACCCTTAGTAAGAAACAATTTTATAGTGACCTAGGAAAACACATAACTTACAACTATTGAAATAAAATGTGTGACCCATTCTGGTATTTTGTATTCCTTTCCATCCTATTTCATTAATAAAACATGCTGGTTGAGACCCTTCAGATTGGTTTTTTTGACCCATTAATGGATTTCAACCCACCTTTTTTTTTTTTTTTGTCTTTTTCCGTGTCCGGCAACGGATCGCAACCCTCAGTGTTGCCCCCGTACCGGACCGGGGACCGGCAACGGGATTGCAACCCTCGGCGTTGCCCCCGTGCCTCGCTCAGCCAGTGAGCGGGAACCGGTCTGTATGTGGGATCCGAACTCTCGGGCGGGAGCGCCGCCACGCTTCCCAAGCGGCGCACTTATCCAGTGCGCCACCGGGCCGGCCCCTTGACCCACCCTTTGAAAAACACTTCCATAGAACTCTTTAGATATGGGGACTCTCGGATCTGCTCAACAAGTATTCAAAGCCCAGAGTCGTGCTCTCAGAGTTCTGCTATTTCCTGACCCACTTCTGCCACTAAGAGAGGACCTACCAATGGGGAAGAGGGAAGAGACATTAGTATTTTGGCTCCTCCATCCTGCTTAACACTGGATCCACCAAATGATTCCAGTTGGTAGGGCTAAGGAGCAGTGAGCTTGAGTTAATTTGGTAGCTTAAAGTATAATAAAAAAGAGATTATCGAACTCTAGTCAGATTTTCTAGATTGAGCTATATTTCTACATGATGATTTAATATCTACTCTCCTATGAGAGATCAAGCCTGAAGATGCAAGACTATTGGAATAAATATGGTGGAGCCTGGCTGGTTAGCTCAGCTGTTTGGAACGCAGTGTTGTAACACCAAGGTCAAGGGTTTATGTCCCAATACTGGCCAGTCACCAAAGGAAAAAAAAAATAGAATAAAATGGCTACCCTTCATGTATTAGAAAATAATTCATGCTGCTTTCTAAACATTGGATTGGTAGAGCTATTTTGCCATTGTAATTTCTTCAGCTATTAAAGACGAGCAATGAGACCATATTGGTTATATTTGATTATTATTTCAATAAAACAATTTGGTAAGTCCAACATGATATCTCTATATCTCAATTTCTCCATCTTTTTATTTATTTATTTATTTATTTATTTATTAAAAAGATGATCGGTAAGGGGATCTTAACCCTTGACTTGGTTTTGTCAGCACCACACTCTCCCAAGTGAGCCACAGGCCAGCCCTCTCCATCTTTAAAAAAAAAAAATACTGCCTACTTCACAGGTATACTGGAATTTTTTAAAAGGAGGTAGCAGTATTCAAAGGGAAAATAAATTTCAAGAATTTTCTTACTAACAGAATTAATTTTCTTACTAACCACCCCTCTCCCAATGCACAGAAAGAGATCCAAAGCAGCACAACTCTCAGAGGTTGCATATTCCTCAGGTGAAATGAGTGAACTCTTGTTTTTATTTTTTGAAAAATTCCTATCTACCATTCCCTTCTATTGTCAAACCTAGTTTAACATTTAAACTTTCACTCATAGATGATAGAAACGTTAATGGAGGGCTGGCCAGTTAGCTCACTCAGTAGAGCATGGTGCTGGTAACACAATGGTCAAGGGTTCAGATCTGCTAGGGGTGAATGTGTCTCCCAAAGTTGCATGTATTAGAAATTTAATCCCCACTGTAACAGTGTTAGAGGGTGGCAAATCCTGTTACGGTATTGAAAGGTGGGGCCTTAAAGAAGTGATTAGCTTGGAGGACTGTCCTCCTGAAAGGATTGATCCACTCATGGAGTGATGAACGTGGTTCTGATGGCTTTAAAAGGAGAGCAACTGAGAAGCTTGTCTCTCTTGCTCAAGCCATTCTCACCATGTGATAACCTGTATCACTGGAAAGTGGCCACGAAGAATGAGGGCCTCACCAGATGTGTTCCCTTGACTGTAGATCTCCCGGACTCTGAAACTAAGCAATAAATATTGTTTCTTTACAAATTACACAATTTTAGGTATTTCTGTTATAAGCAACAGAAACAAATACAGGATCCCTATACTGGCCAGCCTCCAAGAAAAAAAGAAAAAACTTCAAGGGACTTATGGTTCTATTCCTTTGTATAATGCATGTGCCTTTAATATTCTTTTCAGAACTTTATTGTCATACAAATTATTGTAACCTTTAATCATTCTTATAGCCTTTGATTTAAAAAATATTTTCCTCAGACAGAACTGTTTATATGTCAACAGTGCCTCCTAGTGGTAAATCTCATGTTTTGAAAATTGTTTTGAAATTCAGCCCCTCCTCCAAGCACATTCATTTTGTTTCCAGAAATCTTGTTCATTAAAAGGGAAGCCTCCTTTAATACCTGAGACATTTCTCACTAGTAAAGATGTTTTTATGGAACCAGAGCCAGAGGGACCTTAGAGATGAAAAAGCTAAACTCCCTTTTCAGGATAAGATTGCTAAGGCAGAATGCCAAGTCAGGAGGCACTTCTTCCTAGTTCAAGGCTGCCAAGAAAGATGGCTTTAGCTTAGCCTCTTGGTACAAGGAGAGGGGAACAAGGACAGATCGTTCACAAAAAAATTAGGAGTCATCCGTTTCAACCAGGAAATAAAATAAAATAAACTGTTGGCAGTTTATGACTAACAGTTCTTCAAGAACACTGTAGCAAAGTATTCTGGGGAAGATGGCCAAGCCAATGAAGACCCATAACGGAGTGGACTGGAGGAGGATGGATCAAAGGCTTCAGTTCCCAACTTCTCCCGACGGGGGCAGCAAGTCACCAACAAGGAAATGCCTGAGTAGGCCTTCTGTGCTTTGAACTTAAGCTATTTCATCAGCATAGGCTGTAACATCAAATGGCAGAAATATCTGTGGCCCGTTTTTGTTTGAGTCAGTTTTTCCGTAAGACATATGGATTTTTGTTGTTTTGTTTTGTTTTGTTTTTTTTCCTTTTTTTGTCTTTTTTCGTGACCGGCAAGGATCGCAACCCTCAGTGTCGCGCCCGTACCGGACCGGGATCGGCATCGGGATCGCAACCCTCGGTGTTGCGCCCGCACCTTGCTCAGCCAGTGAGCGGCTGGTCTGTATGTGGGATCCGAACCCTCGGCGGGAGCGCCGCCACACTCCCAAGCGGCGCACTGTAGCAGTGTGCCACCAGGCCGGCCCGACATATGGATTTTTGACTCACATCCAGAACAACTCAGCAAGAAAAACCTTATTTATCTCCAACCAGGTTCCCATTTTCCCAAGAGACCCTTTTCCCCAGCTTTGAGCACATTGATGGCCTTGAGAGCATCACAGACTGTTTTCCCAAATGGCCTTCCTGTTACTCAACAACATCCCCTCACCAGTCTGCACCCTCCCACATGTCACCTGCCAGATGGACAACCTGACTCTTCCACAACAAAGGAGGAAGAAAATTTGAAGAGAGAAAAGTAAGAGGCCCTAGGAACTGCTTCAGGAGTAGTATGCCTGATGGTAACAATGTCTTCTTTTTCTTTTGACAGCTGGCCAGTATGGGGATCCAAACCCTTGACCTCGGTTATAACACCCCACTATAACCAGCTGTGCTAACTGGCCAGCCCCAGTGACAAATGTTTAAGATTTGAACAGAAAAAGACCAAAGGCAGCCAAATGCAAGGACTTCTCACAGATAGTGACAGGAAGTGCGGGATCATTCAGTGAAATTGGTGAGCGTAAGGTGAGGGAAAGCTATAGCCAGAAAACGCTTCCAGTTTTCAAGAAGCCAGAGGCATTCTGTTGGCCTTGGATAGATGAAAACTTAAGGGGAAGGAAAGTGAGAGAGACAGATGTCATCATCTGTGCTGCTGTGAGCTACAGAAATAATGCCAAACAACTACAACAAACCAGTAAAAATGGGTTAATTTAAATGCCATTAAATCAAATGCATGATCATTTTAACATGTGGTTTGATGTTTCTGTTTAAGTTTGTGAACCTTTCCTATGTAAATTTTTACATGAAGGGTTTAAGGGAAACATTTAGCTTACTTTTAATAAAAATATTTCCCCAAATGTCTAGAATATCTTTAGTCATCATCACTTACATGCAAACCATCGAGGTACCATTTATAAATTATTCCTCTTTGTTCCTTTAAGCATGTTCATTAAGACCTCTACTTGGCCCCATTCTGTGGTTATTTGTTCCAATCTACCCCATGGCCTTGAAAGGAAAAAGCAAATATCTTTTTAAATAGTTCAGACTTTTCCGCAAGTCAGCCTGACCATTCTTCCAATTATTTTGATTTAATGAGATTTTACTGTTCTTTGGAAAGGTTAACATCTCAAACATCTGAACTGGCTTAGTGGAATTCAGCCATTTCTCAAAAACACTAGTACAATGTAGCAGAGAAAGCAACGCATACATCTAGAATCAGGAATTTGGTTCGAAGTCCTAGCTTTGCCCCTACCTCACTGTGAAGTATTGGGTAAATCACCTCACTTCTCTGGCCTTCAGTTTTCTCATTGGATGACACACCTCTACTACTTTGCTGGAAAACTCCACATTTTTGTGTCCAGTATAAATAAATAATTGCCTTATCATTGTCAAATATTTGCTGAGTGCCACGTTTTGGTGTGTTTCCAGCTGACTTAATTGTTAATTAATTATTCCCTTGGCTAAATAGACAACAGACTAAAACAAAGAGGCAGAGAAAACATTATTAGCCTAGACTCAGTGTGGTACTGAAAAATGAAAATGTCATTCCTCCCCACAGGTGCTGTTTTCTAAGGGGATTTGGGGCTGTGGTTTTTCATATTATGAACTGTTTGTATTTTCAGGGCTTAATTCCTTTTAGGTATGTATGCAAAAGCTACGGAAGTTCTACAGAGGGTCAAGTGGGTAATTCTTGGTTTAGAGTCCTTCATTTACCTGGCAAGGGAGAGAACTGGCTTCTCACATTTTGAGAATAAGGTGGCGGAAGTGGTGGAGGTTGGGAGAGAGAAGCCTCAGAATTTTTCCTTTCTATATAAAGTCATTCTCAGCAGATTGATGACTCCTATCTTTGTATCTCCAGTCTGGACAGCTTCCAGGAACATAGACCCAAGCCAGTGGTCCCTAGCCTGAGCCCTGCTCCTCTTCCCATGGTCATGCAGGCAGGGTGCCCTGAATCTGGACAAGTCCCA